CTCACAAACTGTGAGATCATGACCTGAGCTGAGATCAACAGTCAACTGTTTAACTGACTGGGCTACCCAGTCAGATACTGTATTATTTTTTTTAATTTTAAAAAAATATTTATTTTTGAAGGAGCATGCAAGAACACAAGCACGTAGAGTGGGGGAAGGACAGAGAGGGAGACAGAGGATCTGAAATAGGCTCTGTGCCGACAGCAGAAAGCCTGATGCAGAGCTCGAACTCACAAACCAAGAGATCATGACCTGAGCCACAATTGAATGCTCAACTGACTGAAACACCCTAGATGCCCTCTCAAATACTTTTTAAAAAAAAATTTTAATGTTCATTTATTTTTGAAGGAGAGAGAAACAGAGCATGAGTGGGAGGGGCTGAGAGGGAGACACAGAATCTGAAGCATGCTCCAGGCTCTGAGCTCTCGGCACGATCTGTGAAATCATGACCTGAGCAAAGTCAGATGCCCAACCAACTGAGCCACCCAGGCGCCCCTCAAATACTATTTTTAAAGAAGGGAAAAACAGTTAAAAGAAAGGAAAAACAATAGGTGTATGGGGTCTTTTATATTAATCTACATACTAACTGTTTCTAGTACTTTTCATTTCTTCCCGTCAAGTTACTATTTGGTGTCATCTCCTTGATCCAACATAACTACACTTCTTCCTTCTCATTTGTGCTATTAATGCCATATATAGCTTTAAATATGCTATAGGTCTAACACTTCAATTTTATTATTATTTTATATCACCGTCTTTTAGTTATGAGAAAAAACATTTATATAGCCTTTAATAATTACTTATATAATTATCTTTATCAATGCTCTTGAATACTTCACATAGATTCAAGTTACCATCTGGTATCACATCCTTTTAGCATGAAGAACTTCCTATAACTTTTTTGTAAGGCAGATCTACTAGTAACAATTTTTCTTTCTTATCTGCCAATGTCTTTTATTTTTGCCTTCAATTTTGAAGAGTGGGTTGTTAGAAACAGCTTATGCTTTTCAGGCCTTTGAATGCATTCTACTGCCTTCTGGTTTCCATCATTCTGATGAGCAATAAGCTGCTAATCTTATTTGGTGTTCCTTATATGACTTATTTTTTTCTTGCTGCTTTTAAGATTTTTCCCTTTCAACAGTGTAACTATTATGTGCATAGGTGTGAATCTTCTCATGTTTATTCTTCTTGGGAGTCTACTGAACATTTTGGATGTGTGGATTGTTTTTCATAAAATTTGGGAAGTTTATGACTATTATTTCTTAAAATACTTTTTTTCCTAATGCTTTCTGTCTTTTCTATCTAGTTTTGCCTTCACACCTCTGTTGGTATTTTTGATGGTGTCCTATAGATTGCTGAGGTTCAGTTCATTTTAAAAATTCTGTCCTTCACAAAAAACCATCTATACTGATTCATCTTCAAGTTCATAGATTCTCTTTTGCTACCTCAAGTCTGGTGTTGAGCTCCTCCTCTCTGGTGAAATTTTAATTTTTATTGTTGTATGTATAGACTCCCAACTTTTCATTTGATTTGTTTTTATAATTTCTGTTTATTGATATTCTGTATTTGATAAGTCACTATCATCATACTTTTATTTCTTTAAAATCGTTTGAAGCCTTTTTGTCTTCTATGTTCAATGGATGGGTCCAGTCAGAGATATTGTCAGTGACGGCTTTTTTAATCTCCTGGTTTTACATGTTTTATGATTTTTTAGTTGTTGTTGAAAACTGGACATTTAAGGTAATAAATTATAGCAACTCTGGAGTTAGGACACCCCCACAGGGGCAAGGCTGGATTTTTGTTTATGTAGTGGCTTGCCTGGACTAATTCTGTGGTCTTTTTTCTGCAGAGTATTGCCACTAATGTCTGTGTTCAATTTTTATTTGAACACCTAGGCATCACACTGGCTTAAGTAGTCAGCCAATTATTTGTCAGAGGTTATGCTTAAACATCCCAAGCTAGTAAGGCCTCTATCCTTTACCAATGTATCTATGGTTAAAGAATGCATTAAAAGTTTAGACAGTTTAAAATTTTTTCTGGCTTTTTCTTTTGGTGTTCACAATTAACCCTCACAACTAACTGAAGATAAGTAGCTTGCTAGGCCCTTGACAGTCTCTCTGGAGTGTACATGAATACTTACACATGTGTGCAACTTTCCAGAGTTCTAGGGAGAAGTAGGATCTTATTAAAACCTTCTTTGGCTGTCTTGTTCCCTAGATATTCCTGTTAAGATTCTGCCTCATCTGCCAGTCTATTCCTTATTCCAAATAGTACCAAAACCTCAGGTTAGCTGTTATATTATCCTTCCCTGTTGCAATTGTTTTCAGCAACACCCCTTGGCTCGGAATTTTCTGTTTTCTCTATAAATAAAGTCAGCCCGCCCAAGCAACAGAAAGCCAGTCCTCCAGTCTGCCCTTATGCATCATAGAGCTGTGGGTTGAGAGGACAGGAGGAGCCCTAGGCTGAAACACCACAGACTTCCAATGTTCTTATTTAGACTCAGAAGAAATTCTTGGATAAATGCTTACTGATTTGTTATGTGCTTGTGGTCAATTTCCAGCATCTTTAAATGGTTGTCTTTGATGATTATGTCCAATTCTATTGCTGCTTTTTGTGGAAAGGATTTGCCAAGTTCCTCAGTCAGCCATTCCAGATGTCAAATATACATTTATAAATGTCCAGATGAATGCCATATAATAATGAGGGGAGTCATTCTTGACATGATTCTGACTTCAAGGGAAATTATTTTAGTGTTATACCATTAAATTCAAAGCTGGTTGCTGGTTTGAGATAATAACTTATCTTGTATCAGATGTTTCTATTTTTACTAATTTTTACATTCAATTTATATTCAAGAAACATTTATTCTACTTTACTACGTGTCAAATAGTTGTGGTATAAAAAGCAAAGACTTTCTCTGATATCAAGAAGTCATCTAGTGGAGAAGCAAAAACAAGTTAACAGGTATAGCATAGTCATAAGTGCTTTGATCAAAATATTTATAGTGAACTATGGGAATACAGGGGAAAGATACCTGGAGACCCAAAAATAAGAAAATAGGGACTAGGAAGGGTCTCTAAGGAAACTAAAGCTGACAGATGAGCTGAACCTTGAAAAACAGGTTCAATAAAAGCTGAACAAAATTATTTGTGAGAGTGGGAAGGCAGGTTCAAGAAGAGGGACCAACAGAAGTAGAGCAAGATTATGCTGAGTTTGCAGTGGGTGTTATATGGAAACTAACTTGACAATAAACTATAAAAGGAAAAAAATAAATAATCTTAAAAAATAAAAGATTATGCTGGGTTTGAGAAATCAGAGTAGAGTCATAAGGGTGGAGCAAGAGTGGTGTATGTGGACCAGATTAAGAGTCAACATTAGAATGATGGGAAACTATGGAAGAACCTCAGGTAGAAGTGTTATACTCACATTCATATTTCAAAAAAGTAACTAAGGTAACAGTGGAAGTGGAGCAAACCAAGACTAGAAACAGGGAAGACCCGATAGCAGCAGTGGGAAGAAAGGAGGTGAGAGTCCATATATATTAAAGGAATATAATTAAAAGAATAGAACTTTGCAAAGAGGGGAATAAAGGGAAGAACCATATCATTACCTGGTTTCCAGGTTTTTTGTTTGTTTAACATGGTAAATGATAAAGAACATAACAGCAGGAGCAAGTATGGAAGTTGGGGGAGGAGTACAGAGTTTGGTTTGGATACAGGCATTTGAGCCTACAGAATACCCATGGAAAAATGGTTGCAAGTTAAAAAAGGGCCAGTTCCAGCTGTTCCAGTGCTATTAATGCCTATTTCTAGTTTTTTTTTTTTTTTTTATTTTTTTATTTTTTGAGACAGAGAGAGAGAGCGTGAGCAGGGGAGGGTCAGAGAGAGAGGGAGTCACAGACTGAAACAGGCTCCAGGCTCTGAGCTGGCAGTCAGCACAGAGCCCGACGCGGGGCTCGAACCCACGAACTGCGAGATCATGACCTAAGCGAAAGTCAGACGCTTAACCGACTAAGCCACCCAGGCGCCCCATAGTTTTATATTTTAAAATGTTTCCATTAAACTGTTAAGCTCAAATTATGTGTACGTGTGTTTGCCTGTGTGTGTATACACATATACAAAGAGAAAGAGAGCATGCACTCAAGAGAGAACAAGTCATAAAGAAAATGGGCTAAAATGTTAACAACAGTTGAATCTCTGTATACAAAGGCTATATGGTGTTCCTTGTATTACTTTTATTTTTAAAATGTTTTGTAAGCTTGAAATTATTTCCAAATTTAAAACTTTTTAAACGTTATGTGCATTATATGTACATTTTTGTATGTGAGAGAATTACATGAGGTAGTGAGTGTCTGAGTGTATGTGGCACTTCACATTTACATTTCTGGAAATAATACTTCAATACCTTTTTTTTTTTTTTTTAATGTTCACTTTAAAGAGGTCACATTTACCAGAGGCATAGGGCTTTAAAATAAAATACAAACTCTTAGTATGAAAAATCTGGTCCCTTTCTACTTAACTTCACAAATCTTATCTCAAGCCACTATGTTCCAGCCATATTATCCTGCTTTTGAGGAACTTCCTTACCTTAGAGCATTTACCTCAATGTTCCCTCGGCCTAGGCTACTCTTCTTTACAAGCCTTACTTTTTCCCATTTTTCAGGTATTAGTTTAAATGTCATCTCCTCACAGAGGCCTCATGATCACCCTGATCATCCCATTGCCTCACCTATTTGCTATTTTCTATTACAGCAGCCTGTTTTTTTCCCCAACCACATTAGACTGTAAAATTCCATGAAAGCAAAGACTTTTCTGTTTTGTTCACCAAGTATAACCAAGGGCCAAGCACAATGCTCTCCATCCATTTTGCATGAATGTTGAATGAGATGTGATGAAAAGCCAACCAAAGAATTCAGGAGTTCTGACTTATAAGTCCTTAAATATTTCCCAAACCGTATTTGAGAAGACTGAAAAACATAAACAAGAACAAAAATGTCTTACCTCCCGCAATGACAAAATGGCTTAGGGCATTTTTATTTCGGTATACGTTTAGACCAGTGTTCACTGTGCTGGGAAGAAGGGAGAAGGAAGAAAACATAAAATTTAGAGCATATCCCCCTTACTTTCTCGACCACAATTTTCACTAAAGTGACAGGTATTAGAAGTGCCTACTATGCCAATTCCTGGTCTTAGTCGAGGTCCCATCAATATGTTCCAGACTACTAATATACCTATGGGTGTTCTAGGTGGACCTTCTGCTGAAGAATGAACCAAAGAACAATCAAATTTCTGGAAAAAATATTCACTTAGACATAGAAACATAAAGAGTTTTGCAGAATTTCTCTTACTTAGAAACCTTGTACCTATTTTGATAAGAGGTGGAAGACCTCCATCCATGGATGCAGACCTTCATTTGGACCAATCATTTACACAGACAGATAAAAGTTCTTGGGGGAAAAGGTATTATGAATCACTCTAATGTGGATGTTTAGTTTTTAAAAATCTCACTTGCTCATCTTTTGAATACTAAGAATAAAATAACAAAAGAATACTAAGATCTTTTGTCACAATTTGAGAACTTACTTGAATATAGTCACAAACACTGTAGTTCTCCAACTCCAGCGCCAACCATACCGGATAAAGCCTCGTGTGGCAGCACGATGTGCAGATTGCTAAAGTTAATGAAAAGGCTGTGAGGTTTCAAGACCCCTTAATACCTTCTTTATTCTAAAACTGTGGTAGAAGGATGGTTATGGATTAGGCAGGGACACTTAAACAGAAACACTATTAAGACCTCTAGAAATATCATTGTTTACTGAAACTTAAGCAAAAGTATCATGTGCATCCTATTCTATTGGGAGATAGAAAAGGAACTAGGAATTGCCAGTGTCAACCAAGTAAGCTACCAATGAGGCATAAACAGAGAATCTATATGGCAAATGCCATGGCAAATATGGTCAATATTAGACATGCTTTTTATATTCAAGAAATATTGGAAAAAAGAAACCATAGAATAAAAAAGAACCTAATGAATGGTAACTAAAAGGGTAAGGATAATAGTATTATAGATATACAGAAAAGAGCAGACAAAGAAAAGAATATTTAATGCCTGCCTTCTATGTAAAAGTATATTAACATATTACCTCATTTAATCTTTACAACTTTTTTTTAGGCAGGTGTTTCAGTTTTAACTAAAGCACAGAGGGGAAGTTTCTAACCAAGATCACTCAGCCAAGAAGGAATAAGTCAGAATTGAAAGGCAGGTTGTCTGTCCCCACAGCACATCTTTACCACATCACCATGGAGCAAGTCTGGTACCATATCCTGAGGATACAGTCTAGATTTTGAGAGAATCCCTAAGTGGATCCTTAACTACTACAAGATATTGGGCAAGTCAAAACCTCTCTAAAGAGTATCAGTATGGACTCGTGGCTTTTAATAAATACATAGATAACTAAATAGATACAGAAGTGTGTGTGAACATGTGTATAAAAGTACATATGAATACACACACATTTCCTAATTCTGATTAGGGGCTATAGAAGCCATGATATCCCTGTAAGCAGTGAGCATATGTAGCTTCAAATATTAGTTTTTAAATACAATTTTTCCACTAAAAAAAACTAGAATTCCTTGGTGGTGATGACTAAGTCTTGGGCTGGTGCTGGAAAAGTAAAAGATGAGTCAGCAACATTTTGCTATGCCAAAAAAAAAAAAAAAAAAAGGAAAAGGATATGCTCAAAGAATGATGGGGACATATCAAAAGAATAAAGGAGCTAGTTTAAAGGGCGTCAACTGTCCAAATCTAGGCCAATTTCATCATCAAGATAAATAATAATAGTGTGTTATAAAATAAGAATCCATGAGTCCACACTGATATAAATAAATTATAAAGAGACAAATACAGGAGAAGGGAAAGCTCTTCCTTAAGCTGAATATGAAGCAATAAATGCAGGAAAGATGGCATTAGAAAATAACCATTTTGCAACCACCATAGTATTAACTCTTTCAGGTAAGAGTCATCAAACTAAATGAATACTAAAACTAAAACACAAAAATGTGATGAAAAATAGGATATTTACATAGTCTCAAAGAACCTCATAAGTACCCATAAGATATTCACTAACTATGTTTACTAATTATCTTGATTTCGGCTCAAGTCATAATCTCACAGTCCTGAGATAGAGTTCCTCCTCAGATTGACTGAGTCCCGCCTTGGCTTGTGCTGCGTGTGGAGCCTGCTTGAGATTCTCGTTCTCTCTTTCTCCTCTCTCTCTCTCTCCCCCTGCCCTTCCCTTGCTTGCATGTGTGCTCTCTCAAAAAAAAAAAGTTTATAATAAAAAATTTTTAAATTACAAAGGAAGAAAAATAGTAATATTACAGTGAATAAGCCTGGCAAAGACCATCTTAACCAAGTGCCTAAAGTAAACATCATCAATAAAGGGACAATACCAATACATATTGATGTACTAATACATCAATACTGATATAATGTACTAAGAAGAAAACATTAATTCTAGGGTATTCCTGCTAAAACACATAGTTTGAATCTAATCATGAGAAAACATTAAACAAATCCAAATTGAAGAACACAATCTTCAAAAATGTCACAATCAAGACAGGTAAAGAAAGAGAAACTGTTCTATATTAAATGAGACTAAAGAGGCATAAAAGGCAAATTCAACATCTGATCCAGTATTAGATGCTGGACCTGGAAAAGAAAATTATTTTTATTTACTTTTAAAATAGGGGTGCCTAGATGGCTCGGTTGGTTAGGCGTCTGACTCTTGGTTTTGACTCAGGTCATGATCTCATGCTTCATGAGACTGAGCGCTGCATTGGGCTCTGCACTGACAGCATGGAGCCTGGCACAGAACCTACTTGGGACTCTCTCTTTCTCCCTCTCTCTCTGACCCTCCCCCACTCCAGCTCATGAACACTCTTTCTGTCAAAATAAATGAATAAACTTAAGTTAGTACTGTATCAGTGATAATTTCCTGATCTGGATAATTATATAGTGGTTATATAAGAGAATGTCCTGGTTTTCAGGGAAATACATGCTGAAGTATTTATCATGACTATAACTTACTCTCAAGCAGTCACAAAAAAATAATAATATGCATTATACAGAGAGAGAATGCTATAGTAAATGTGATAAAATGTTAACATTTGGGGAATTTGGGTGATAGGTATACAGGAATTCTTTGTAATACTTTTACAACTTTTAAGTCTAACAGAATTACAATTAACTCTCTAAGCTGTAACTTCCTCACTTATACAACAGAATTGATGTACAGATCTAACAAGAGTTATCACTCTATATAAACTGTAGTTATAAATGCTAATTATTGTTTTAGCGTCCTCCAAGCAGGCCCTGTGAATGCTACAGCTAAGCCTTGATGATTTAGTTAGGGATTAGAAATATATTTCAGATACTATACTAGATCTTAGCCAAAAGGCTGAGAAGTGATAGAAATATATTTCAGAAAGTAGAGCCACGGTGGTAATCCCTCTGAAGATACGAAAAGTGGTCTGACAAGCCATGTGTATGCTCTTTAACATTAGTACTTCCATTGTTATTAAGTATAGGCTTTGTTTCTTTACTCTGCCATCCTTAACCCTCCCAACCTTACTTCATAACTGAATAACTAAGTACTAAGTGTAAGGTGAACTGCTAAACTAGAGTGCCTTCAAATACGTTTAGAATATCAGTACTTACCACAGCATCAAATCGGTTATGATAAATTTCTGCTTGGCTCTGCTCAACATAGTGCTGTTTAGCATGAATAAAAGCTGGTATTCCCCCATACGCCCAGCCAATGATGCCTGCTGAAATAGCTGCCTTATAAATATTCTCAAGTTCCTTTGATGTTCTCTGCTGTTCACTAACACATCAAAAAGACAATATTGTTTGGGATTAGTATATTCAAAATGACCCCAATACTAACAATACCACATTTTTCATTATGGGCAGAATCTTCTGATTAATAAAATCTTCTGATGAATTAAATAGCAGTTATAACACAAGCAGCTCAATCTCAGCCAAAATTAACCTATGCTATTAGAAATTAGGCTATTGGTTGATTACTCTTAGGAACACAGTGACTAGAAGGGGCACAAAGGGGAGCTTCTGAAATGCTGCTAACAGTCTCTTGGTGTTGCTTACACAGCTATGTTTAGTTTGTGAAAATTCATTGATCAATATTATTTATGTAAATAGATGCATATTATATTCCAATAAGTTTTTTTCTAAGGTGCTTTTATTTGATGACTATTACAACTTGACTACACATCTCTGGAATCAGGAAGAATCTGTAAGCTGGATGCAAGGATCAAGATTTCCCTTTGTGAATTTTAAGCTAACTTTTGGAAATTACGCACACTTACAAATTTTAGGGCAATGTATTCAAGAACAAAATCCTAGATTAAAAAAAATCAAAACCTATCTTTCTGAATTCTTCACTTTTATGCTATGCTCAGATTGGGCTTGTATTATAAAAAGCACCAAATGAGAAATCTCACTGTACAATGGGCACCACAGACCAAACTCACATAATAAGGAAAAACCACTGTTTAATTTAATTTGTTACTCTCAAAAGCAGAAGAAACTAGAACTGCTAATAAAGCTTTGAAGATGTCTTCTAGAAGCTTTAATGAATAGCTATGTTTTTAAGTATTATGTTACTATAAATGGCTCTCTAGATAAATACTAAATGTTATTTACATTACTAAATCACTTTCTTCAGAGACTATAAGGGGTTTATCTAATTCTAATTATCAATAACCACATCTCTGAAAACAGAATCAGTGAGTCTTTACAGTTCCTGCATCTACAAAAGAAATCTAATAAAATTTCTCAGAAAACTTTAATTTTACTTACTTAGGTCAAAAGGAAAAAAAAACTGCTATAATTTGAACGCTGTACTTATCTTGTATAGTGAATAAGACCAAAAACATTTACCTAAAAATTGGCCTATGACATAACTCAGAAAAGAAAAATGTAAAAGCTTAACATTTAACAAGCCAGATGTATATGCTTTGCCTCCTTTTCATTCTCTGAAAAATTCCATAGGTGATATTTATCTCCCTTTTATTGATTTGGCTCTATGGTTGACCCAGACAGCTGATGAATGGTGAAGAAATGGCACAATGGCGGAAAAGACCTAAACTACAAGTGACAACGGGGTTGTGGCTCTGGTTCTGTCACCAACTGTCAAGCGACCTGCAGCCAGATCACGATCTCTATGAACTTTAGTTTTCTCATCTACGATGGAGGGGAACACGGAAGTTACACTAGATTGCTTTCAAATTTCTTTCTGCTCCAACATTCTAAAGCTGATCAAAATAACCCTCTTCCGTTAAATGCTACATAGGATCTACCACAAGTATCTCAAGTAAATATTGGAAGGACCAATGAGAAAGGCTGCCTCATCTTTAAAATAAAGACGATATCTCAATAAAACAATTAAATACAATTCTGCCAACTCCCTGGCCAACAATCTCAGCAACATAATAAAGCTTCAAAGTCAATTTAATCACTTGATAACTGTGTAGTATTGTAACGTATTTCATGAAAGGGTTATTTTTTCACCAGTAATTGATAAATGATGAAATAAATGAATAAATGAAATATCCTGAGTTTTTCATTAAAGTTAATTCAATTTGAAGGGTTATCCTTTATTCTGAAATAACCTTGTTAATTCAGCTTGTATCGTTCCTTTTATAAAATGATTAGACAATACTTGTTATTCTTTTTTATATATTCGTTATCTGACAGAATAAACATTTCACAGCTCTCTCTGTCGTCTCTTTTTTTTCGGAGAGTGGGGGGAGCTATGGTCACGAAATGCCAAAGTTTGGAATAAGGTGAAATATGAAAAAGAACACTGGAGTGTAATCTTGCTGATGTGGATTCCAGGGTCAATTCTGATACTAATTAGCTCGGTCCAATTCTTCTAATTTGTAAAATCAGGGGATTACACTAAAACTCTATTTTCTAAATATGCTCTGATTTAGAATGAGTTTCACCCCTACCAATTGTAAACTGTTCTGTCAATCAACAGAACTACTAATTGGCAATGTGAGGATACAAGCTTGGGATACAAACATTAGAACATCATATCTTTTTAAAAAATAAACCACATCACTCAGGAGTCCTTCACCCCCGGATGACCTAGGATTCAGGACAGCTCTTCGCAGTCCCCTCCCACCAGACCCTAGGAACTTTTACTCTTTGACAAACAGGTCCCGGAGGCGGTCCCATCCGGATTCCCGGCAATCAGGCTCTGGGACGTAGGAAGACAGCTTCTGGTTCTCCGAATCGGTAGCCACAGCTGCCGCGGCAAAGACCCGAGGGAAAGGACTCAGCGCCCTGCAGGGGTAGCTCTGTGGCGCTGGCGGCCGCACCTCCATGGCCCTCACCGAACCTGCGGACACACGCGTAGGTTCTCGGGGCTCCAAGGCCTCCGGGAGACGCCGTGGGAGAACAGTAAGGATAACTGCAGCACTAAGTACGTGAGTACCCTTCCACTAGGCCCCAGCTAATCTGCTGCCAGACTCGCCACCACAACTCTTGGACATCCTCCTCAGTGCCAGCCCTCACTTTGGAGGACCTTGGATACACGAGACAGGAAGTCCCGCCTCCATCAGGGCAAAGGCCAATGGGTGGGGCGACGGCGTAGTTGTAGCCAAAACACTTCCGGTTGGAGGCGGACGAACCCAGTGGTGCCTGGCCCGCCCCCCGGAAGTGAGTTGGCGGCGCGTAGCCCACCGCAGCCGCTTGTGGGGCCCGCCTCCGGCCAAGGTCTCCGCGTCTCTTTGGGTTTCCTGGGTCCCACAAACCGGGTCTTCGTCAGGTTCCGAGAGGCAAGATGTGTTACAGCCTGAAGTAGTTTATCGTATATAAAACGCCAGAAATTCCACATAGATGAAAGAAAGTGCAGTATTCAATACAAGTGGAGTGGGGAAAGGGGAAGACAATTTGCACAAATACAAGCCCAACCTACCTGTCACCGACGTGGAGAAGCCTCCTGGGCTGGGCGGGGTTTCAGTTCTGCTTTCTGAAGAACCAAATGTCTTGGTGCCTGATAACACCGAGATTTCCAGAAAGCTCATTTGAAGAGTTAGCTTTCGGTAGTTCTTTAACAAGGTGGGTTTTGCCCCACCCCACTCCCTTAGTTTCATATGCTTACTCTTCCTCAAAAGGCAGGACAGTTGGAATTTCTTGGATATTACAGCAGTAATTTCCCTTCAGTACAGCTTCTGCTAACATATGCTTCGAGGTATTGTTTTTATTAAAACACACACATTTGAGGGTTGCCTGGGTGGCTCAGTGAGGTAAGCTAAGGACTTCAGCTGAGGTCATGATCTCAGGGTTTGTGAGTTCCTGCCCTGCATGGGACTTGCTGTCAGCGCGGAGCCTGCTTCGGATCTTCTGTCACCCCTCCTCTCTCTCTCTGCTCCTCCCCCACTTGTTCTCTCTCTCTCTCTCTGCCTCCCCTCCTCTTCCCAAATAAACTTTAAAAAACACGCATTTGAAATAATTCCAAATGGTTTGTGTAATTTCATCTTACTGGCAACCAAACATAGTCCCTTATTTTTTGTCAATCCCTACCCCTCTCTTATTCCTTTCTAGATGTAATACTTCAAAACTGCTACACTCTTTAGTAGAATACAATAAATAGAATTTTGGAATTTGATAGGTGAAATCCTAAAGAAAAGTCCCAGAGGAGTAAATAAGTACATCTGAATTAGTGACAGTCATCTGGGAGACAGTAGTAGGTTAGCTCCCATCATAGCACTTACTATACTGCATCACAACTTCCTATCTGTTGATGTGTCTCAACAGACTAACTCTGAGGTCAGAGACCAGGTATATTCATCTCTGTACTCCAGGACCTTGCATGGCATCTAGCATATAGGTTGTTGAATGAAGAATTCATATTCCCAGACTGCTGGCTTTGACTCCAGGTTGCTGTTTATCCCAGATAGATGGGAGTAGGCACCAGGACACAGTCTTAAACCCTGAAAGCCCAAGAAAACCACTGTGAAGTCTGTCATCTACATGTAGGAAAAGTTAAATGCTTGTGATGATTCCAGAATCATTCTGGGATGAGGGAGGGCTTTCAATTGTGGAGCAGGGATGTAAGCAGTTACTAAATGAAGTCATTTATATACAACTCAAATGTCCTCAGGACTCACTACCCTGTAGATAAAAATGATGTCTTATTCACAGGCAAATTTCACTTTCCCCATAGCTGCTTTCTTTGGGTAACTTTGGGACCCTCATTTGTAAGGTTCCCTTTGCCACTTCAAGAAGTCCCCAGACCTTTGGTAACTGCTCACACTGTTACTGCTATTCCATCTTTGCTTCTCAGGCTCTACCTTCTGTCACCCTCCCATATTCCTGTTTCTCCAAGCCCCCAGGTCTTACTTTTTTTTTATTTTTTATAATCACTAGGGAAATACTCTCCTTCCTCTCTGGTCTGCCCTTTTTGAGGGGTCTCAGAGCAATGCTAAGCCAAAAGGTGTTATGAGGTTTATTTGGACTACTCTGTTTCAATACAGCTTTCTCCTCCCTAGCATGTGCCCTTGCCACCAGAGTAAAGGCATCCAGGAAGGATTTCAGTATAGTCACACTACCCAGAACCACCATTCACCTATCCTCAGTCCTTGTTGCTGAGTTCCACTCATAGAACTCAACAGCTTCTTCCCCCATTGTGAATTTTCTCCTAGGGATCAGTAGTTTTCCCTTTCCCTGCTAGGTTCTCACCAGGTACTGCCCTTGCTACATATATTACAGTTTGTTGTAATATACATGACAAACTGTTTTCACAGATAGAAAGAATGAATTTTGGGGCACCTGGGTAGCTCAGTCAGCTAAACGTCTGACTTTCACTCAGGTCATGATCTTGTGGTTTGTGGGTTCAAGCCTTGCATTGGGTTCTGTGCTGACAGCTCAGAGCCTGGAGCCCGCTTCGGATTCTCTCTCTCTCTCTGTTCCTCCTCTGCTTGTGCTTTGTCTCTCTCTATCTCAAAAATAAACTATAAATTTTTTTAAAAAGAACGAATTTTGAAAATTCTCAAGGACTTCATTTACTTCATCTATCCCTCAAAGCATAACCCAATTTTTACCTCCATGAAGATAACCCTCTGCACTAGATGGAAATTTCTTCCTCTTCTGAACTCCATATTCACATTGTCTGTATGAATAATTGGCCTTATGATTAAGGCCTCATGTCACCATAATCACCTTCTGCCTATGATGTTTCTCATATCGTTATTTATCATCTCAACCACAGAGCCCCTTGAGGCTAGGAAGCCTGTTTTAAACATTTTATCTCCTACTGTTTGTGCAGAGTGGTTGCTCAAGCAGTATTTGCTAAATATTAACTTGTATCCCTCTGCCTTACCCACCGCACCTTACATCTGGATGCAGTAGGATTATCTGAAGTGATGGCATATTTGGATGCATGGGAAGATGGATATTTATATACTTGTGTGTGTTCTTGTTTGTTGTCAGTATAGGGGTCAAGGGTAGGAAAGTATCCCCTTTGGAACTCAACCAAAGGAGCCCATTAAATTTTTTTCTCTTGGGAATCTCAGGCTGAAAGACAGAGCCTGGCAGTCTCTGGAACTGCAGAGAGCAGCGCTCTAGAGCAGTCCAAAACTCTTGCTGAGTTTCCTGGAGTTTCCCCGTTTTCTCTCCTTCTGCTATGAAACTTGTTTAGATTTTTTGAGATGCCTTCATATCCTCCTAAATAAGTTCTTTTGCTTAAACTAGCTAGAAGTTTCTGTTCTTGGCAATGAGGAGAACCTGATCTGCCACAGTAGAATAAGATATGACACTGACACCATCACACAGAAGATCCTCTCCAGAGAGAGAAAAGTATGATGTGTGTTATCCATGATCCCACTTCATTCAAATAAACTATTCTCTTTTTTTTTTCTAAGAAAAGTATGGCCTTTAGCCTTCTGAGGAGGAAAGGGTAATTTTGGGAGCTAGACAGTATTAACAACAAACAACAACAATCTTCACAAGTTATGGGGATAAAAATTATTTTCAAAAACATGCATTTGTCATATTGTTACATACCATTCTCATACCACCTACACTGAGGTAAACAGATAAGTATAAAATCTGAGTAACATTTGCTGAATTTAAATACAAAGATTCCCTTATTGGCTATTCAAGGAGCAGATGAGAATCTGCATTGATCCAACTCTTACAGTCATATCCAGTTCCCCTTAGGAGCAAATGGCTAGTCAATCTGTAAATAGGATCTAGTTAAGTTAGCTGTCTCCATACATACATACATATATCCAACCATCCATCCATCCATCCATCCAACCATCCATCCTTCCTTCTAATAATTCTTTAGTATCTACTGTGTGAGGCACTGTACTGGATAATGGAGACCTCAAGATGAATAAAACATGTTTCCCACCCATTAAGAAGCCTACAGAACAGTAGTAGAAATAGTCAAATAATTACAGTACAATGTGATATTATATAACACAGGCATGAGCAAAGTTTTATGATAGCCCCTAACTGCTAGAGGAATGAAAGAAAGGATCCAGAGACAGGATGCTTAAGCTGGAACTTGAAGCAAAATGGGAAATTCACAGGGAAATGCAGTTTCAGATCTTCATTCAAAGAACAGAAAATTCTGTTTCTAGTCTAGTGACAGGAAAATTAAAACACAGAAAGATAACACCTACTGGGGCCTCATACTGACAAGGCAAAACCACTGTACAACATAAAAAACTAGACTGCTTCTCATTAGACTTCTAGCACCTAAGGACATGGTCCCCATGAATTTTTAATACTCAGAAACAAAACATCTAATTTTCGATGTCTGCCTTATTATATGCAATGATCTTACCAAGGATATTCAACTCCTCCTCTAGGAAGGTCCTTAGACTTAAACATTTGTGGAAAGGAGTTTAAAAAGCCAAGTACTTTTCTCACTAATGGAATAAAATCCCTGATTTTATATGACTGAACCTCACATTTACTAATTTTGAAACCAACTAATATACCAAAGTTCTTAAGAAGCAAAGGAAAAGAGTAGATCTAATTGTGGAAAAGTTGGGCCGAAGGGACAGGATGGTTCTGAGTCATCAAACTATGGGTTTTCATCTAAAAATTTTTCTTTACTTTTGACTATAAAAGGGAGAGCATCCTGAGAGATTAAACTATTTGAGTCTTTCAAAAAGGGAAAAAAGGGAAAAAGAGGCACTCCAACATGGATTTTTGCACTGAAATATCTCCTATATAAGTAAGTGCTCAACTTGGATGATCTAAATGCCCAATGTAACATTTCAGAGGTGAAGACTCCTTGAGGTCCCTGCACGCAGTCCAGACTGTGGACAATGTTGCCAATTTAAAGAGGAAAAATATTAAGGGTGTGCAAGGGGTGAGGAAAAGTTGCTGTTTTGTGCACAATTCCTTTAAAGAGTAGGACTACTTTCTAAATTTATTAAGAGGTTTTTGTCTTTTTTAAAATAGAGACCATAAAAAGAAGTAGTGTGTGAAGGCACAAAAAAGGGGAACTTGAAATCCAATTGCAATAATTACTCATGCAATTGGCCCCTTTGTATATGGCATTATAGAAACCTCCTGAGTACGAAAAAGCTTATGCTTT